ACGCCGGGCCACGCTGCTAGTATTTACATATATTTACATGATATTAAGCACTTTATCCCATAAATATAGCATGCCTTAAACTACATTTCATATATATATATATATATATATATATATATATATATATATATATATATATATCGCAAAAACTTGTATTTCGTAAAAATGAGAATGTGGAGAGTCGGGTTTGAATTCAGTCAGGGTTTGAATCCAGTCGGGTTCCTTACATTTTTACTTAAATAGATACCTTGGAAAAGATATGAACCCATCACATACTTCGAGCTATTGCAAAAAAAGTAAGACATTAGCCTTGAAAAGTCGTTGTTCTCGAAAGATATATTAAGAAAAGGTAATATCAACTCACAAAAAAAAAAATCCTATAATTCAAAATAGGTTTTGGTTCCAAGTTATATCTATCTATCTATCTATATATATATATATATATATATATATATATATATATAAATGTGTGTGTGTGTGTGTGTGTGTGTATATGTATATATATATATATATATATATATATATATATATATATATATATATATATTGAAATGGGAAAATTTCCGATAATTATTTTAAGACATTTTTATTTTATAGATTTTTTTATAATAAATAATTAATAAATGCTTTTTTATTTTAAATAGTATTTATGAACATTTACTGGCCTGAAAATTTCTCGGACATTCAGGCCGGTAAACGTTGTTTAATACTGTCTATTATAAACAGAGCATTTACTTAAATATCTGTATCTATAAAAAGAACGTATGAAATAAAATGTCTTCATTATATAAAATATATATATATATATATATATATATATATATATATATATATATATATATATTGATTGTAAAAGGCAATTAGCTATGCTATACACACAGTGCACAATAAAAAATAGATAATATACAAAACAGAGTCAATAATAAAATGTAAGTAAAAAACACTCATTTCCAATACTACTTGCCGTGACTAAATGTTTAATGTAGATATTTCGATTTCAATATTGTTGTCTTACCGCTTGAACTTTGCGAAGCATGATACCCAGTTCCTTATTTAGATTTCCTTTCCGTGCTTTGCGGTATTTAATAATAGACATGTTTATTTTAGTTATTGATATAATGGAATATGCATACACCTGTGTTCCCCCTCACTGGAGTGTGATTGGCTGGTGTCCGTCATAAATATCGACGGACGTGTAGAAGAGTCAAAAGAGAGCTTTAGTCTGAGAGCTAAGTCTGTAACGACACCCATTGGACTACGCCATTGACCTACACGCGTACCAGTCAATTCCTGCTACCGTATTCTACTTGGTTATAGTATCCAAAACCACTTAGTTACTTCGTTCAAATATATCCCTTTCCGGGACATATTAGTTATATTTATACTTATACAGAAATTAGTACAAGCAACAACTAACCAATACTAAATAAAGCACTAGACAATATATCCGTAGAAGTGGAGACGAGAAGAAGATAGTTCATTTGGAAATTTACTGAAGGCTACCAACAGCCTGATGTCTGAATATAAATAATTAGCACTCTTTTTCCTTGTATTTCAGATAGAAACTCTGGTTCTATTCTCATCACTATTATTACAATTTATTTATATGACGCACTGTCAAATATTATTAATCAATAATAATAATAATAATAATAAAACAATTTTTTAAATGAAGTTTCAGATGGTTATAGAAATAGAATTAAAGCCGAATACACCGACTGAAGTTGCAAAATACTTAAAAAAAAAAAAAAGAAAGCAAAAACAAAAGAAAATGCAATCGACCAGATACAGAAATGTGGCACCATTTAACGAGGCAGAAAAAGAAAAGAAAGAAAAGAAGGCAGAAAGAGAGGCGAGACGAATCGTGGGTGATAAGCAGAACACACACACGGCTAAGAGACAATGGATAAGGGATATTTTGATAAGTAACAAATGGTGAAAGGGTGTCATTACAATGACAGGGAAATTCTGAGTAAAAAGAAAGGGAAAGAAAGAAAGAATCAGATATGTTTTGGCGACGGCTGTGTTATCTAAGGATATGAAAAAACAAACTATTGGTACGGGAAGGCATCTTATTATCAACTACAGACCGGTTGGCCAAAGAAAAATTCAAATGAAAATGTTATTTCGATAATTGACGAAAACAGGCAACTAAAAGGACTTTGGACAGATATGAAAAAATTAAAAGCCACCCACGAGTGTCCGCTGACTGATTTTTTTCGACGAAACATCTTTGGCCTGCGATAATAAAATTATGTTATCAGAAATATGTACCGAAGGAAAATGAATGGGAATTTAGAAATGTTTCTTTCTTGAGGACGCGACGTTGGAGATGTTAAGAAGACCACCCATTCGGATAATTAGCGATAAAATACCTGACAAAAACCACGTGTAGAACAAGAGTTATGACCGCCATTGTTCATATTGTCCCGTTTGCGAAAAAGAGAAATGATAACGGCGATTAAGAGGAAGAAAAAGAAAAGAAGGGATATTTTTTTTTCGCCCGACAAGATATCATTTTTTCCCTGAAACAAAGCCACGAAGGATTCGTCCACACCCGACAAAGACATCATTGGTCGAGTGGTGATCACGTGACGCACGAAGGAGGCTGTCGCCGCCCCATCCAGAGTATAGGTATGAGAAGCTGCTACGAAGAAGTGGGGAGGGAAGTTCACGCCCCTCTGAAGTATGGTGAGAAGGTGGGAGTAAGGGAAAGGTTCCCAAAAATGGAAAAAAGTGGAAAATTCCTAACCAGAGAGGTGGATATGTATTTAGAATTATCGAGGAAACCCCGACGCCGACAGACCCACCCCGGTTTTGGTCGGCGTCCATATAAGCGAAGCCACAACGAGCAGAGATCAGTTCCAGTAAGTTCCAGTGAGTTCAGTTCCAGAAAAGTTCCCAGAGTCAGTCTCCAGTTGAAGCCGCCTCGCAGATAGCTGACCAAGATTCATGCAAATTCCGGACTCCTCTTCAACCCAAGAACAATTATTTTGAAGAGCGACTTAGATCCAGACCACCGAAATAAGTTTTTTTTTTCGACTTTCGTCCAAAGACACACCGAAAAACCAATTTCTTAGAAAGCAAACAACTTGAAGCGTTAAAACTCGCCTAACGGAAAACGACGTGTCACAATCCATAGAACGGGTCGGGAGATAGATGCAGTCCTATGTATCGAACAACTAGACATAAAAAGTTTGTTACCTTTTTCTTTGATACTTTGAACTTTTTTGAGTTTTCATTTTATTTTCTTTTTTATGCATATTTGTGTGGTATCACCCCCGTTGAATTCGGTTTGCATTACGGCCCCAACCACTGATTGATCTCGTCTGCCTAAGATCAATTCACAACGTGGGTAGGCAGACTGGAGATCTATGCAGTTACCTTGGTAACCAGGCGTTGGAAGCGAGTTGGGAACGACGAGGCTGATATCAAATCTAACCAGATTCCCACCCGAATCACCAAAAGGTTAGAACCACACATTTGGGTGCCGCGACCGATACCAAGCGAGTTGGTCGTCACAGGACGAGACAACACGACTGACGCGACAGGCGGACGTCACGTTTGGAGCAGCGACACCCGAACGGAGCAGCGAGGAGCGAACAGCTGGCGCCGCGGCGAGGACGTCACAATTGGTGCTGTTTAGGGGCGTCACATTTGGTGCCGTGGTAGACCAGGATAGAACGTCACAGTTGGCGCTGCGACCAGGGGACGACGTCACAGAAACGATGGCAAGATAAACCGCTTCACGGTCAATATTCTATCCGTACAAACAAGCTGATGTAGACAAATCCCGTACCCATCAGTGGCTACATAGTGCAGGGTTGAAAGCTGAAACTGAAGGTTTTATCCTTGCTGCACATACCCAGTCAAGCACACATACTAAAATATTGTGTTAGCCCAAAATGCAGATTCTCTTATAAATATCGAGAAATAATTGATCATCTTGAATCAGGCTGCAAGGTATTTGCACCGACTGAATATAAAACCCGGCATGACAGAGTGGGCCAATATCTGCACTGGAAAATCTGCAACTTCTACGGGAAAGAAACTGAAAGAAATTGCTAATTGAAGAGATTCCTAGAAGCCCATGCCTTAAGGGAATACAAAAATTGTTCTCACGAGTACAGCCCACACTTTACGAAGGGTTTTATCTATGTAAAATATGCGTGTTGTTTTGGGTTTTTTTGGGGAGAAAAAATGGTTATTTTTTTTTTAATTGTTCAATGAAAAATGTCATGGTGACATTTTGAATTGATTTTTCTGGTGGGGCCTAGAAAAAAATAAAATTTCACCAAAAACCAACGTCAAATTATTATGGAGATTATCTATTTTTTTTTTTTTTTTTTTGCATTTCACCCCAAGCATGGCGGGAATTCCACTAGTACACAAGGTGTTAGAGTTAAAATAAGAGTAAAGTGGGGTCTTTAGGGAAAGGATAAAGAGAAGTCGGGGATCATGATCAAGGCTACAGAAGATGTTGATTGATATTACATTTGAACATTTGAAGGTTATAGCTATCAGTGCGATAGAAGACGCTGTTTGCATTAATATATAATTTACATTTAACTGTTTCGACACTGAATTTTATCAAGGGACCGAGAGGCCTTGAAGTAACACGATTTTTTTTTTACTCAGTTGAGGTATAAGTGAAAGTAGCTCGTCAACGCAGTTGCCATGAAAATATTTGTAGAAAAGACAGAGGGAAGCCACATCACGTCCGTGAGAAAGTGACTGTAGACGAGATGCCAGATTAGGACCTTTCACAAAATTTATATTTTACCGGTTTTCATGTCTAATGTTATATATATTCTTTTTATCTCAGATTACCCTAAAGGAAAAAAAAAATATAGTTCAGGTATTTTTGCATCCTAGGGTAATATGTGTCTCTTTATACTGAACTCCTTTCGACAATCGTTGCTGAAACTCCCGCTTTAATCAATTTTGCGAGATTTGTTTGTTCTTTTTTCTTATAATTTTCGAATATTTTGTGATGATAAATGTGCATTAAGCGTGTTTACTACATTATTATTATTATTATTATTATTATCATTATTATTACTATTTGCTTTTTCAGGAATTCCTGTTAAACTGTTTTCCAAAACGGGTTTTTCTTTTTCCTATAATTGCTTCGATATCTGTTTTTTTTTCAATTTATTTGTTTTCTTTCATGTTTTCTTATTCGTGTTCCATTTTGGATTTATTTATTTATTTCAATTTTTTTTTCTTTCTTGTTTGTTTCCCGCTTCATTTTTTATCTCCCGCGTTTTATTTTCTTTGTTTCTCTTGCCCTTTCTTTTTTTTCTTTCGTTCATTCTTGATTTCCTTTTAGCTTGCTGTTCTTTCCTTTCATGCGTTAAGTTTACGTTTTTGATTTTTGTCCATCTTTTCTTTTCTTCTTTATTTTCATTTTTCCTGCTTAATTTTTTATTTATTTCCGTTCTTTGTTTTAATTTCATTTTTTTTTTCTTTTTGGTCTTTAATATCTTTCATTCTTCATTTTTTTCCCATTATTTTTACCGTTGCTATATTTATTTATTTCCATATGGGTTTCCCTTAAATTTACTGTTGTAATTCTAATTCTTTCTATCTATTTGTTGTTGCTATTTTTCTTTCTTTCTTTTCATTATCTTTAGGGTTGCAATTTTGATTCTTTCTTTCTGTTGTTCTTTCTTTAATTCATTAATCCTTTTCTTTATCTTTGTTCTGGATTTTCTTATTTCTGTCATTCTTTGCATTACCTTGGCTGTTGCAATTTTTTACTTTCTTTCTGTCTTTCTTATTTTATTTTATTTAACTTTGCTGTTACATTTTCTTTCTTTTTTTCTATATTTTCATTTGCTATTTTTCATTTTTTTCTCATTATTTTTCTGTTGCTATATTTCTTTCTTTATTCTTTTTAGGTTTGCTAATTTTTTTTCATTTTTTCCTTTCATTATTGCATCGATTGTTTTTCTTTCTTTTTATTATCTTTGTTATTTTTCATTCTTTCCTTACATTATTGATTCTGTCTCTTTTACTTTCCTTTCATTATGTTCAGTATTTTTAATTCTATCCTTCCATTATCGTTTATGCTTTCTTTTTCTTTTTCCTTTACTTCATTCTCTTTACTATTTTTTGATTCTTATTTTTCATTATTTTTGATGCTGCTGTTTTTCTCTTTCTTTTCTTTCTTTATTTTTCTATTCTTTCCTTTCATTATTATTTCTCTTGTTATTTTTCTTTGCATTAACTTTAATGTATAATGTTTCTTTCTTTTTTCATTATTTTTTCAGTCTCTATTTTCTTATTACTTTTCATTATCATTGAACATGTTTATTTATTTCTGTTTTTTTTTTTAATCCTGTCTGTTGATATTTTATTTCTTTCATTTTATCTTTGCGAATTTTCATTCTTTCCTGTCATTTTTTTTTGCTGTTGCTATTTTTCTTAATTTCTTTCTTACTTTTTATTATTTTTAAAGTTGGCTGTTTTTCTTTTACTTTCTTTCTTTCTTTATTTATTCGTTGTTTATTTTATTTTTTGTGTTAATATTTTTTATTTCTTTCTTTTCCTTATTTTGAGGCTGCTATTTTTCTTTATTTATTCATACGTATTTCAAGTATTGCGAGGATTAGTAGCTTTATTATTATTATTATTATTATTTCCATTTTTTTAATTTTTTTTCAGTCTCTATTTTCCTCGGGCCCCTCTTCAATTTTCAAAATTACAATTTTTTTTTTAGTTTTTAATATTTACATTTCTTCATCTCTCACACTTTTTTTAATTTTTATTTCATCTAAACAAACCTTTCCGTTCAAACATTCGCCGACTTCTTTCCAACGCATTTTTGTCCTTTCGTTTTTAACTTTCTCTTATAACAACAATATCGTGTTTCCCCAATCGCTCCAGCAGTTTTAGTCGCTTTGATACCTTGAAACCCTTTTTTTTCTCTCTCGATTCCTCCTCTCAAGCACGGTATTCCTTCGACAATATGAAAAATTTTGTAAATTGCCAGGAGCTCTTGAAGTGTTTCAATGCTGCTACAACTAGAAAAAACGGCCAAAAAAAATTCACCAGTAATGTAAAATAAAAAAAAAAAAAAAAATTAAACAAAAAACAAAATAATCTAATCCCGTCCCGCTAGAAAAAAAATGTATATATATAAAAATAAAATTAAAACAGAAAAATAACAAGTGAATTTCCGAGAAAATCAAAAAGCGCGCTCTTTTTACCGCTGTCAATAATGTTACGTTACGATGACATTTCACTTTTAAACGACCACGCATGCGCAAGAGAATGTGCAATAATTCCTATAGAATCCCATTCGGATAAACGTTGGGTTTGGACTGTGGGTGTAAGACTGCCGAGGTTTTGAAATAACGTCCATTTAGCGAACGTTTTGACATACAAGCTGTTAAGAAAAATGTCAATCCCAGAAACATGAATGAAGACATGAAATATTTGCTATTCAGAGGGAAATAAGTAAGAACAATAAACAAAAGCACTTATCCGAAGAGGGAGCAATCAGAAAACTGTTACCAAAATTTACGTACATATATATTAAAGCAGCTAAATTTTATAAAATGTCTACTTTTGGGACGATTAAACTCACGCAATATAAAGACTAAAAGCAATATCTTATTTCTGGGAGGAAGTTAGATAGACCATGAATATGCATGCCCTGAAAGGACACGGCTCATGAAAGAAAATATGCTTAATAGAAAGCTCGTTAAAAGCGCATTTAAAATGTAAAAGAAATGTCGATTTTGTTTGACATCGGAAAACATTGTCAAAAATGACGTGTGCTCTTGGCTAACCTGCATATTGTAAGTATGATGAATGAAAACAGATATTATCAAATCATTGTCAATCTCTCGCGTTGAAAAAGTAATAATGTTCGTCATTTAAACGCACCAAAAAATAACGATTAACATTGCGTTTAAATTTTCGAAGATCCTTTATGAATTTAAAACTAGAAGCCGGAATTGATCCTTGTAAGCGAGACGTGAGAGATACAGTATTCTTAGCATAGAACTTACAGTTCTATCTAGCTATTTCAACTCTAATATGATTAGAACTTGCCACCAAGCTAGTACTGTGTTTGAATTCTTAGTGTTTACGTACCGTAGAGAAGAGGTCATAAGATCAGGTCATGTAGAGGCGCAGTTAAAATGTAAAAGATACGTCAATTTTACTTGTCCTCAGAAAACATTGTTAAAAAGTGACCTGTGCGTTTGCCTAATCTACATATTGCAGGTATGATGAATGAACATAGTTAATATCAAATCATTGTCAATCTCTCGCATTGAAAAAGTAATAATTTGCGATATTTAAACATGTCTTTCTGTGAGTTTAGATATCTCGCATAACAAAATTGGACAGTTCAGTCTTGCTTCATTTTAAATTCGTTTTTTAATCAGTTCGCCAAAGCAATGCAATAAAGCCACTAACACACAGGGGTTTACTGATTGGGAACGAATATAAGAAAAAATATTAAGGAGCAAGAAAAAATAACATAGATTCACAAAACAAAATTTTTAAAGTTTTGAAGGTAATTTTTGAATGGAAAACCAGAAGCCGGAAGACAGCCCCATAATCGAGAAGTGAGAGAGAAGATATATTAGCATAGAACTTAACGTTAAATCTAGTCATTTCAACTGTAAAATGATGAGACCGTTACTACAATCTAGTACTGCGTTTGAATTCATAATATCTATATACTGTAGAGGAGAGGCCATCAGAACATTTATGATGAATATATATATATATATATATATAAGCAAGTGTAAACGGATATAAATCCGACAGAATGAAGAAGAATTTTGAAAAAACAAACAAAATCTTTAAATAATGTATTTAATGTACATTTATGTACATTATTTAAGGATTTTTTTGTTTTTTTTTTCAATATATATATATATATATATATATATATATATATATATATATATATTGAAAAAAAAAAAATATTAAAAATTAAAATCTTACAGACACACTGGGTTGTATATTAATATTCTTTCGTTTTTATTATTATTTCATTTAGATTCCTCGACTAGTTTCGGCCAACCTGGCCATCATCAGGAGAAGAAGATTTTCTGCTTGCTGGTACATTCATTTCTGTAGTTCACTGTTAAGATTCACCAGCTACGCGTAGAAGAAATAGTCAACTGCTAGAAATGAGTCAAGGTAATTCTACAACGAATCTCCAGGATATCTACCAACCGCCCTACGAGATCAGATGTGGCACAAAGCCGAATTTAATGTGGCGTTATCCAAAGGCGTAGCCTCGGCCAAAAATTCCCCGTAGATCCTGCCGTTAGGAAGCTATTTCCCGAGGTTTGACTATACCCTTCGACATAGACTCGTCTGAGGATCGTCTCTGCCTGGAGGAAAAGAGTTTAACCAGTATAAAGGGAGACGAATCTCCAACTGCAGGATATCTACCAACCGCCCCTCGAGGTCAGATGTGGCATAAAGTCGAATTCAATGCAGGGTATCCGAGCTCGTAGGCTCGGCCAAAAATATCCCGTAGACCACATATAAAACGGTGTCGGGTAGCTGTTTCTCGGGACGAAAATCTGCCCTTTCACGTAGCCTCGTCTAGGGATCCTGTCTGTCTGGGGGCAGAGAGTTTGAGCAACACCGCTGGAGACGAATCTCCGCCTACAGACCAACATACAATAATTACTACTGTATTTATGTGAATGGGGACATACCCATTATCGTCCGTAGGTATGCTGCAACAATATATACAAGGCAAAATGAAACTAGGTTACGACGGTGGGGGTGTGACTGATTCTGAGATTCCATTTCAGTAACAATGATATTGGAGATTCTTTTTGGGGATTTTATGAAGTGACTGATAAAGAGATTTCGGCCCAGTACCTATAACATTGCAGATACTGCTTTAGATTTATCTCTAAATATATAGCAGGAGCATCAGACCAGGCGTGGCAGCAATATTTAAATCATGGACGACAGGTAGACTTGTAAATATGTAAGATAGATTCTGGTGTAACTATATGTTTATTATGAAACAAACAAACAACTCCTTCCTGGATAAGACGTTAAACTACATCTGCGTCCTGGGTAAGACGTTAAACTACGTCCAGCAGCAAGGTCTCTGATCAGGATTTTGAGGAGTGTGGAACCACCTCTTAATTGATGTTCCCAAGTCCACCATGACCCGGTGTGGTAGCACCTGTTAGGGCCCCAGCTATGGGCAAATAGTTAACTATTACCAGCATTATTTTTTTTTAAATTATTACCAGCAATACAATCTTGAAGGAAATATATTACCAGAAACAGATTTTTGACAAAACAAAAAATTACCAGCAATAAAAATATTTGTCGGCATTAAATAACCCATTGAAGTTGATATGCCGTAAAACAAAATAAACCAAACGAATCTAAAGTAAAGAATACATATTCTATTTATACGAACCTATCCTAAAAATGTTGTTGGCATTAAATAACCCATTGAGGTTGATATGCCGTAAAACAAAATAAAGCAAACCAAATAGACAACCAACTTTCCCAGGAGCAATTATTTTCCCCAGCAATTAATCCGATATAATATTTCTACTTCATGTCAGTGGAAAACGTGAGGACAAAAACGCCCAACGAATCACTCTGTTGGAGGTTAGCATTAGCCATACTAATGGAATCGAATTATGCTTCATGTTATGAAAATATTTTGCTCCCATTTTATTTGTCGTTGCTAATTCTCGATACTTCCTGCGGTATACAGGGTACCAGCCCCACCGCAATAAATGATTCTGTAGTTTTAGAAATTTAGCACCGCTGCCACAAATCTTTAAACACACACGCGTGAAAATCAAATAGATGGTCCTTACACACGTTCGTTCTTCCATGATTAACATATCGATTAATTTGTTTAACGGCATAGCGACGCCTTTATGGGCCATTTAATACTGAAATTTAACTTCTTTGGGAGCCTGGAAGTAAATAAAATATGATATATGTTATTCTACCTTCACAACTGAATGCGTGGTGAATGATTTTTGTGTATATACTTGTTTGTGTCGATATAATTAAAACAGACGGTGATATATGTGTTATATGTTGGAGTTTGCTTGGAATAAACTTTGAGTTCTTTAAGAAATCTTAGGATATGATATGGATTATTATACTGAAAGAGT